AGAGAGCGCGTGGAAGACGGTAACCTCGATACGCCATCTACGAATCAAATCGCCAGGGGTAGTAGCGGCTGATTGAAGCCTATTACAGACTGTTCCGAGACGTCTTTCGGAGGTGAATGGAAAGCAGGCTGTCATTAGATTATGATATATTTTGTTTTCTCATTGACACTTCAAAACTAAATATATTTACTTTATAAAATAATAAGTGTTTTGTATCAAGCATTTTCGTCATGTTTTCTTGAAATCACATAATTTATATCTACGCTTATATTGATAAAAGGGTACCCAATCGTTGTATGTTTGTTTGTAGGAAGTGGAACAACTTTTAAAACTCATTGACCAGTAGAAAGCTATTTCCACGATAATTCTGAGCGACAGTGCTATATTCTTTCATCACGTTGAAATTTTCACCCATAGAAAGCCGGGACGAATCACTAGTCATTTATAAAAAAATATATAATTCTCTAAATAATACAGAAATTTTCTGATTCCTAACAATGTTAGGTAGTTACAATCGAAATGAAACATTAGTACTGTTTTATACTTGCTGCTAATTAGTTTTGCCTGTTTTCAAAGTTATTAGGCAGCATTCATGCCGTGAGATCATCGGATAACCCAGTTGTGTTGTGCCCAGCAATAATTAAGCGTATGTCATGTTCACACAGGATCAATAAAATATGCATGTCGGCTGCTAGCTGGGTGGTTAGGCGAAGTATGTGCGAACTGCAACAAATGCAGTGTGATACGCTTAGAACTATGCTCGTAGTTGAAGCTATTTCATAATAACTATTTGAATAATTTCGCTGGAAGCTCCATGACGCCGTGGAATCGTTCCTGTGAATAAGTTATTGTTGATTTTCATTTTTAGTACGTCTGCTCTAAACTAACTGACACCCGATTCGTGGTTTCAACCTAGGTTTTAGGTGGGCTAGAGGGTTTTTATTTTATCATCTAGGCTTCTGCCAGGACTTTGTATTTTCTACCTACCTAATATAATACCATTATAGCTATTAACGGGATTGTTTCCATGTGGGATGGTTGACCCTATAGTTGACCACGCACCGGTTTGTAATCATTTTATGTTTATTATAAAGATTTCCAATGTATTTCAAATGCAAACGATATATTTCATGAGTTATTTTACTGGTTAACAAAAGGTATATGATTTGATTAGGTGCTCCTGTGATTGACCAATTGGTCAACGATTAGTACACTGAAGTGGTACTCTTTTTTTTACTTTTTTTATCAGTTTCATGTCCAGAATATGAGTTGTAAATCGACTATCAATTTTAAAGGAGTAAAGTGCTTACGTTTCCATTAGTTGACCAGTGGTTTGACATTGGTACTGCATACAAATCCTTAATTGACCAAACTCTTAATATGAGTTTTGTTTTCTTGTTTTACATACAATATGCCACCAAAAAAGAAATTAAAATTAATAATAATGCTTGCAACTTGTCAGATCCTCAATCAACAGCAGATATACATAATAAACGGGACTTTAGTTCTGAAAAAGAATGCACAATGCCTGCAGAATCACCACTGAAAAAAGGTGGTAATAAAAGGTTCAATAGAAAGCGATTGCCAGATGTAGTAACATCAGTAGAGTGGATGCAATACTGGAATGAAAAAAGTAAGGAACAAGAAGAAAAGAAAATAGGAAATTACCAAGAGAAGAAAAAAAGAAGTTACAAGAGTTGAAAAAAGTTGAGAAACCTAAAACAAAACGAGTAAAAAAGAGAGTTCAGAATAGAATTGATTCTGATCTCGATGAGGATAATTTACCTTTGATCAATTTAATTACAGTAATAAAGATAGATCAGACGAGGAAATAGGATCATATGTTATAGTAAACTACGAGGGGAGTATTTTCCCGGGATTGTCAAAAATATTGACCAAAAGAGTAAAGAAGTTAGTACGATGGTGATATCAACTTCTTATACTTTTAAATGGCCAGATAAAGAAGATAAAATTTGGTATGCTAATGACAGCATAGTGGAGAAAATTAATGCTCCTGTGTCAATTAATAATAGAGGTTCATATACAGTACCAGAAATGGCCAAGTATCTTTTTTTGGATCTGATTCCTTTTTTAATTTTGCAGTTTGAATTTTGAATCATTACGTGAATTTAATTATGAAACTTAAATATTTTTTTAATTGTTAAAAAAAAATATTTTAGTTAGATGTATGATATTAACAAAGAATTACTTAACCAAAACTTTAGATTGTTTAAAAAGTTCAAAGTTTAAGTGAAGTTATGATTCGTTATTTTATGGTGATTTGAAAATGTGCCATTTAGATTTAAGAATTACTACTGTGATTGTTGAGACTGACCTTAATTTAATTTACTTATTGATCTCAATTAGTTCTAAGACCAAACCATAAAGTTGATTATAAAATACGTCTGCTTTTAATTGTGAATGTAGTTATTATTTCACTTTTTTATAATTGGTCAACCTCTGGTACAAATCTTCATAACAACTGGGGCCGGCTGGTCAAATTAGGGTACATCCCAGTTTTATACCGATTATCTTGAATAATAAAATAAACAAAAAGAAATCAAATATTTTCCTTCCCAAATACAACTTATAACTAGGTAACTTACAATATAAAAAATAAATTACCAATAAATATCGCTGTTAGGCTATATAGCAACATTTTAAAGTTAATAATTTCCTTTAATTGGTTTGAGACCGGGACATCCACCCTACCTTGTTTTTGGCTGTAAGTAAGTTGCTTGTAGTAACTGGGATTTACTCCGTGATCTTTGTATGCCAAATGACGATTCTGACTGTGAACTTTCTACGGTATAATTGTCCTGCTTTTTAATTATTGCAGATATAAAATGTATGCGTAAAGATGATGCTGTCCTGTCTTGCAAAATAATGAGTTTGATTGCTGTTGAGTGAATGCCAAATGATTTTTTTCGAACTGAAGCTTATACCATCCGCTGATATGCATAATAATATCATAAAATTAAAAATTCTGTGATGCAAGGTAGACCCAATCTTGGCATAAAGGCATCGACCGTAACGAAAATTTGCTCTTAAAATTAATAAAAAAAGTATTAGGTAATAATACTCAAATAGACATGTTTATGTAACCCAGATTCTTAATTGTTACTTAGCAAAATTTATCGTTCAAAACGGTGCATGAAGTGTTAATAAATGATGCGCCAAGTCTTAAAGCACTACCAAGCTGAGGCCACAGGTGGCTTGGTTAGCAATTAAGTAAATCATTATTCTCAAGAAAATATTAAAACTTACCCAAGTAGGCTCAAAGTTACATTAAAGTATATTAAAGTTAAAAAAATAAGTGAACATAACGATTTTGATTTAAAGGCTGAATATTAGGTAATTTACCGTCGTAAATCTATGTAAGTTGACATGAAGACCTATGACTAGACTTGAGATTATGTAGTAATTTCATCCTTTGTTAAATTAAGTGTTTTATTAAAGTTGGTTTTTCAATATTACGTTTGCTGCAGAAATACTAAAATAAAATGGTTTATTAAAAAATATTTTATTTTACTTTGTCAATAATAAGTGCATTTTAAATGTTGGTATGAGAGACGAGATGAAATGGAGTTCTTATTTGGGTAAGTACTGAATACGTATTCTGGAGTTCGCGCATTTTTTTATGTTCGCATTGTTACATTGAATTTTGTTCAATATCCAGACATTTTATTTTCTTTTAGTTTCGTACCATAGTGGCTTTTTAAGTTTTAATATATTATATTCGAAGCTGAGTAGAAAATATAAAATTAGGTAATATAAGACGGCCAAGTACTAGGCAAATTAGAGAACGGTGTCGGTAATTATAATTTTTATTACACTTAATTTAAAAAGGTTTTCTTTGTGTTATTTAATCTTCTATTGTGACCTCGTTGAAAATAAATAAACTAAGCAACAAAATCAGTGTTTGAATGCAATTTCTTTTCAAAACAACATCTCGCAGACTGTGAAAGCACCGCATCGACTTATTCCGAGTGGTCATAATGACATCGTGGACAATTTGGACCAGAGCCAGAGTTTGCATTTCACGGCTAATGATTTCACCATGGAATTCCTATTGTTTGTCTCTTTCAGAAACTTTGGCATCTGTTCGTTTAATTGCAAAATTTATTAGTTTATACGCTATTTAACGAGCTACTTTATTTGTGTTATATGAAATTCCTCTGCCTAACGTACATAGTGTTTTTGAATTACTATTAAAAGTTAGGTAGCCCAAACTCCACGGAGCAAAGTGCCTAATAAATAAGTACAAGTCTGAAAGTAGGTAACTGATTAGGCATACATTTTTGCAGTAGTAGCTAGGCAGCTGTCTGTTGAATTGAACTTCTATCACGTACTTACATCAGTTATTAGAGTAGTGTAGTTTATTAGGCTAGCTATTACTTCAAGAGCGTCGCTGGTGCCAGCTACTCGAGCGACGCCGGTGCGGGGATCACATCGGATTCCTGGTTTATGTTTATCTCATAGGAATACTTTATAGGCAGTATTTAAGATAACAACATAAGAAATGATGATGTGCGTGAACCCTGCGACACTGTCCTTGCCAGGGCGAGCCAACGGAGCTAGTGCCGACTCCTCGTGCGACCCCGGTGCGGGAAGCACATTGGGTCCTTGGTTTAGTTTTGTCTCATAATATTGTATAGGTGGAACTTACGGTAACAACATAATAAATGCCGTGAGTGTGAGTCGTGCGACACTGTCCTTGCCAGGACGAGCCAACGGAGCTGGTGCCGACTCCTCGAGCGATCCTGCCGCGGGAAGCACATCGGGTTCCTGGTTAAGTTTTGTCTCATAATACTGTATAGCTGGTACTTACGGTAACAATATAAGAAATGCCGTAAACGTGAGTCAATCGACAATGTCCTTGCCGGAACGAGCCAGCCACGACGGGGCTGTCTCCTCGAGCGACGCCGCGGCGCCAGTACGGCAAGACATCGGATCCCCAGTTTATTTTTGTCACATAATTCTGTTTAGGTAGTACTTACGGTAACAACATAAGAAATGCCGGTGAGCGTGAGCCGTGCGACGCTGTCCTTGCCGGGGTGAACCAACGACGCTGGTGCCGGCTCCTCGAGCGACACCGGTGTGGGAAGCACATCGGGTCGCTCGCGCGCTCGCCCCCGCGCCTCTCTTGGTGCTGCGCCTGACGCTCCATACATACTGCAATAGAATTCACAATCATTAATAAACCTTCGTGGTTAAGCCTGGCACACAGATCTATCATGATGGCGTCATCACCTGCAGTGATGCTATTCTGTAAAATTTTCACGCGCGGATCCGATGTGTTTCCACGCGGGTCAATGTAGAAAAATATATATTCTCTTATAAATATAGGACTAGATTATTGTTTCTGATTTTTTACAAAATATCTATATGATATTTACGCCACAAATTTGTAAATAACATACTTATATGGAATTATTACCCGTATAAAGTACGTAGATAGATTTGAATCAATTTATTACAACTAAAACTGTTAGAGTTTAAAAATTTAAGAAAAACATATATTTTTTCGGAAATAAAACTTAAATCGTTGTCTGAATTCACTAGTAAATTTTCTCAAGTAACTCAAAATTTACAGCTTATAATAACATAAATGTTTTCAAGGATTTATAAAGCTATATTCTATAAAAATCAAAGACTTCTTTAACATGTTCGTCCAAAGGATAATAAAGATTCTAACAAAATCCGAATGCTACTGTATTTGCTACGACTACCGTTTTATAAATATCTTACATCTTAAGATAACTGTATAACAAATGTACAAGAATACACATATTTCAGAACGCCTGTACGTGCTTATGTTTCACTCTGAAAGACGCACACAAATACAGCAATTTGAATATGCTTTGTGCTTCATAACTTACTGAGTGCTTATAAACTGCTATTGGCTAGCAGTAAGTAAAACTGAAAGCAATAATAAATCATATACTCTTTTTATCCGATTTTCTGTGAAAAGTGAAAACTTTTTCTCAGGCGTGTACACCATCGGAGCAAATAAGTAACACTTTAAAATCTCTCATTGGGCATATTGAACATACAGTTACATTAACTAAAATATAACATATTCGGTAATAGGTATACTGAAATTTTATAGGGGCATATTATTAAATGGATAATATTGCAGAATAGTTTAGCGTAGAGTCACATATTCAAGCCTCTATGAAATAATAATAGGTTTTCTGAAAAAATGGATTATCGCGTATAAAGATCTAACTCCATTCAGTAGAGGAATATAGAATTGCAAGAGGAAAAGTAAACTAAGACATAAATATAATGTTAAGCCTATTTTACTATCATGCTATATCTATAGATATTATAGATTCTCAGTACTTCGTGAACTAAAAGGTTCGTTAAGGGCATGGTTTACAAAACTTTTTTTTTGCAATCTGATCATTATGTTACTTCCGTCGACCACTTCGATTGTATGTACTGCGTAATTATAATCTTTATGGAGCCTTTGTCGTGTAATTAATTAACATAATTTAATTATGTACGAAATCTTATCCACGTACATTCAGCCTTTCGATCGTGATTGAATAACAAACAATTACAATCAATAAAATTCTTAGGAGATTGTTTTAGTCTGGAGTACATGATTTTCGTGTATTTTCTTCTGATTTATTCATTTATAAGGCACGCTTACAGTAAATTAATAAGAGAAAAATTCTATTCATATAGATACTCCTCATTATCTTTAATGAAATTTTCAAGATATAAATGCTGCTTTTAATTATATGCAAAATTATATCTACTATATAAAAATGAGTCGGGTTTTCCTTCCTGACGCTATAACTCCATAACGCACGTACCGATTTCCACGGTTTTGCATTCGTTGGAAAGGTCTCGGGCTCCGTGAGGTTTATAGCAAAGAAAATTCAGGAAAAATAAAAAAAAAACTTCTTTTAATCACCAAACGAAATGTTACATAAAATGAAGCCATCTGGTGGCGAAACGGAGTTTGCCGGGTTTGCTAGTTTTTCATAAATAAAACAAAGAATTGTTTCAGAACCAATTTTCCAATTCAATGCAGCTTGGAATATAATTCATATTCCTCAGTTAGCGAATTATTTGTTAGAAGTTTTCAGCTACAGATTTTTTAGGGTGATCGTATCAGACTCATTCAACTCAATGTTACTTTAGGAGTAATGTTTGCGCATACATATTTACCTTTCATGGTATATTTAATGATATGCCAACCCTTTAGGTGTTTTTTTAATAAAAGGTTAAAAAATGCAGTTTCACACAACACGAGCTAATTGAACAATTTCTACAGAGCTAATAACTAAAATGTTTGCGTAACGTTTGCAGTACTCTAATCCTTAAACAGAAGATGTAACTTTCTCATTCGGGAGTTAATAGGAGTGTCTAAAGTTTGTAGTTCATGCCATTCGGAAACAGAATCAACAAAGACATTAATAAGCTCTCGCGGACGAATCCCTCGGGAGCGATACTGCAACTCATGCCAGAGTTCTGACTTCGCTATGATTAAATCAAATGGAAAATCTTGTTAAATTTGTCTACTCGAAATTATTTTAGATTTTTGGGTGCAATTAATGAATAACTGTCACCGTCTTAGTAAATTTCAAGAAAGGTCGTGCCTTCCAGGAATAAAAACTACGACAAAGAAGAAGAATTCTTGAGATTACTATTGAAGTAAAAATCAAATTCTCTACTGAAAAAATTCAACCTATTTACAAGAAAGGCGACACTTTGATTGGGAGGATTTAAAAAATCACACAACTAGAAAAGTAACGAAAAGAAATTGTAATATCACAAGGAAGTAAGTAAAGAAATACAAAATGAATGTCAGGAAAAAAAGAATGTAAATAAGATAATGACATTGAAGGTTAAGGCAAGGATTGATTCATATAAATATAGGTAAAGACCTCAGACTTGGTAACGATAATGACAAATTGCTGAAATATGTAGAATCTGATAATAGTGAAATATACTGAATGAAATACGATGTAATGATAATTACTAAACAAGACAAATTGATAAGCCGTCTGTCGTGGTTCAGAAATTTGGTTATATACTAACGTTGGTTGGTATGTATAAAATAAGTATCAGCAAGCAAGCTATGTTTTCGGATTGTGATACATATAAGTCTAGAATAAGAAACCTGCAAGTATTTAAACGCATAAGTACTGGAATGTGCGCAACTTATCCTTACTGGCAAATAGCTAAAATATATTTTTTTATATTAGAACCAATAGTAATAAACGTATTATTATCAATTGATAACAATAGTTGTTATACCACCATCTCCAAAATATTTTTAAGAAAACCGTTCTTATTAACATTGTCCAAAAATGGTTGGAATTGCAGACAAAAGTGGTTTGTGTTGTGATTTTAATGCCGTTATTTTGTGACTCTGACCTGTTTCTATGTTTAGTGAAACCCTGTTCACAACAAGTGACATAATTTATCTTTTGAATTCTTTAAACCACTATAGTGCTATTCAAAATAAACACAATTACTCGAGCAGCTCGCATTGCGGTCAATGAACTTTCGCTCATTACCACGCTGCGTAATTTAATTTTCGATCTACAATTATTATTTCGCTCCGTAATTACTGGAATGAAAGAACTAGTTAGTCTTTTGCGGGAGATTATTATAAATTTGCGGCTCCCTCGGCTAAATGAGCTTTTCCCATTAAGGTCACGTAACGGTTGAGATCAAAAACAACGTTGCTGTAAACGTTTTGAAATAATTTTCAGATACGTTCTGAAGAAAAACGATGCTAAGTAAGATTTATCGCAAGTAATCTTTTTACTTTGAATATAATACTGACTTGTGTTGGAAATATTTTTGGTTTATTAGAACTACAAAATGATGGAATCAAGGCTAAAGCTTTTTGAAGATATTCCTGTATTTGCCTAGAAAGCAAGCAAATCAAAACTCAGGTTTTAGCCGTTTAGTTCACGTTTCAAGTACACAACTTCTGTGACCGGTGTGAATTTAAAACAAGAGCCTTAATTTTTCTTATGTTCAACAATATAACCTATACGTACTCGCAATTAAATCAAACTTAAAGATGAAATAACTTTTTTTTGGAATCGGACCAAACGCTTTATACAATGTGGAACATGATAAAGTGAACTAGGTCTGACGTATATTTTTATGCTTTAAAACAATTCCTCGTACCAGACAACCTTACTTCTTCAAATTTCCAACAAAATTATCGCATAATTAATTACTATACATTACTCAGTAAAAAGTTTCGAAAGTTCTTCTATTACATAAATTAATATTACACAAAGCCATTTTCAAATAATGGATTCCTAATCCCGTTTGAGTTTGTCAGTATAGCAACTAACGTGCTCCATATGAAAGCAAGCATTCTCTTTGATGATTACAGGAGTTCTACCTGACACTTTGAGCCGAAAACTGATAATATATAGTAATATTTTATTACCATTTTAAGGGTTATTCTCCTTGGAATATTATTCGCTCGTATAAAAATTCCAAGAGAAATTAAAGAAGGTTACAGAATGTTAGATATTTTGTGAATGTAATTTAAAATACAAAACGGTTAAATTGCTTCAGATAGTGTTGTAAGACCATCGTAGCTTTGATTATAATCAATTATAATTATCGATACTTAGTCTTCCAAAATTGATATAATGTGACTATTTTCCAAGCCATAGATAGACTATCGATATTCCAATCTACTGCTTTCACTACGCTACTACAGATGGCCTTAGCAGCTTCACCGAACTTGGAAGAGCGCCTTCCAAAGTTCTATTCCAGATTTGCTAGGGCTCTCAAGACTGAGGTACATTAGAACAATTCGATTCTATTTCTGAAGACTCGTAAAGTAAGGAACGAGAATATCCACGTAAATCATCTGTTTATAGCGTGAAATATGGAGATCAGATTTTCACACTTTTAGCGTAGGCTTTAATGAATAACACACCGCACCCGTAGGGGTGCGGTGTCTTCTTAAGACAATGCATTGTATGCATTAATAATTGTGTAATGAATTTGTGACCAGTGTCATCTGTTTCCTATAATGTATTCAAATTTCATACTTTCTCAGACACAACTCACCTAATATCATCATCATCAGGATGATGGTCCGGCGGCAGATCCAGCCGGAGGTCGCCGAGCGCCCGCGCCGCGTGCCTCCTCCGCCTCTCATACCACAGCCTCCTTTGTTCCCTCTCATTATCCTTCTGCACACCGAAAAAAGTCTGCGTCTCTCTTTTAAGGTAGTCCCGCACCGCGACGGTATGCGCCCGGCGTAATCTGACGCCATCTTCTTGCGCGGGCTGTGGTACGGGGTCGGGAGGGGGCGGCGCGGGGGCATGCGGTACCGGGGGCGCGGACACCACTCGTGGCGGGGACGCAGGCGCAGGCAGCGGCGGCGCGGATGCAGCGTTGTTATTGGTAGATGGTTGACACGCCAACTGCGGCGCCAGGAGACCCGCACTTGAACGCCTGAAACAAATATAAAAAATACATTTTTAACACATCTATTCAGCTGCATCATCCCCTTCTCAGGGGTTGATTGCATCAGATGAAGCCTTTAAGGCCCCTAAGGCCATAGGCATCCCTCACGGGTGTGTTTTAGTCAGTAAGAGTCTGACATAACCCTATAGCCGGCTGTAGGGTATCCATGAGGATATCACACCCGCTCCCCCGCCTGGGAGGAAACAAAAAAAACACATCTATTCGAAAAGAGCTAGTTTGTTCTCTGTTTACAGTGACCAAATAAGAATAGCGTTTAAATCCCTAGGGACTAAAAATGATTTGAATTAGTAATTCGGCTCTTGTAAATAAAAGTTCCAATCACCATAGAGATCAATTACGAACATTTAATGAACAACTTTTAAAATAGTTGTTTGCTCCCTAAGTAAACAATATACCATTTAATAAAACATATTGAGCGAAAGAATGCGTTATTTTACTATAATAAATAACAATAATGTAGGTATTTGTGATCCGATTTTGAAATATTAGCAGTGTTAATAAAACAGGGAGAAAAAAACAGCCCTTGCTGATTTTCTTGCCGGTTCTTCTCAGTACAAGGTCTCCCGCCATAGATTTACGAACCGATAGCGTAGCTTCTAGAGATTCATGAGTGCTTGTAATAGCCTAAACTGAATTAATGATTTTGATTATGATTACTGTTATGTTAACTTAAACGTAACGTAGAGATAAATACTTTCCGCTTATGGAGACTTTTTTATGCTTCGATTTGTAATAAGTAGCTGGGTTGGTTGTCTGCATCATGAATAAACGTTTACGTAATTGAAACAGCCTCTTTCATAGACACTTAACTTTATATATACTCAATAACTAGATGTATGAAAAATGTATTAAGTAACACAATATAACCCATTGAAACATTGTTTTATTTAATGAGTGGTGTGCGTGAAAACATAAGAAGAAGAAGAAGTGAATAGATGGAACATAGTATAATCTTTTTTAAATATGCAAGCTTCATACATAAGTATTGTCATTAGTAAACATATATTACTATGAATCTAAATTAATTAGACAGCCATTTCCTTCAATATACTTAAGTAAGTTCACGCCATGTCACTTGCAGGATATACCTATATTTTCAGCTATCGAAAATTTATAATATCGCATTTACACAATCGTGCCCGCCATTCGTCTCGTCACTCAACGGAACATTCGTATACGAGTGCCGTCACAAGCTACAGTACCGAATTCGCTTACTATTCGAATACAGAATTCGAATAGAAAGCGAGTGCGAAATGTCATTGTCATTAAAATTGTATTATTCCGAATAGATGTTATTAATAATGTAAGCGATGCTTTAAATACTAATTAAATAATTCCGTTTGTAACTGTTCTCTTTTCTAACATATTATTTATATTTATAAGTTCTAAGATATATTCACTTTATCAAACTAACTTCAACTTAATACGATTTAATGAATAATAAAATTTGTTAAATACTCAAACTAGGAGTTAACAAATCACGCAATGTCATCATTGCGGCGCCCCGGACGACACGGCCGAGCACACCTTATTGGAGTGCCCGGCCTGGCGACACCAGCGCCGCGACCTCGTTGCGGCGCTGGGATGCGGAGCCCTCTCGCTGCGGAGCATGGTGGAGGCCATGCTCCGCAGCGACAGGGCGTGGGAGGCAGCCGCCTCCTTCTGCGAGAACGTCATCTCGCAGAAGGAGGCGGCTGAGAGGGAGCGGGAGGATGATCCTCTGGCCGCTCCCTCCCGCCAAAGGAGGACGGGTAGGAGAGGACGGCGGCGCGCCCTGGCTGCGCCCGTCCCATGACCCTACCCGAGGGGTCCCTCGCTGACCGGCATGGCGATAGCCGTGCCGGCCACCGACGGACCCCGTGACGGCAGCCCCCCCTTGTAGTTCTGCCCTGCAAAGAGGGGGGCGGCGGAGGGAGCTACACGGGCACGCCCAAGTAGCCCTCCGCAGCGGACGGGGGGGCGGTACGGTGGGCACTAGGCCGCGTACTCAGCCCCCGCGCGCGGGTCTACCCGCGCACGTCTGCGGGGTCCCCGCGATACCCCGGGAGACCCCTACCGTGGAGCCCCTGCTTGGCCGGGAGGCTGCTAGGTGAGGAGACGCGGAGAATCTCTAAACGGGGATCCCGCGGCTTCGCGCTAAGCAGCTTTGAGGGTATTCGCAGGACTTTTTTAGCGGATATTATACCGTAAAGCGCCCGTAAGAGTTGCGGGGTCCTCGGTGGGCAGCCACTGGGGGGTTCGTAAGACTTGCGGGAGCCAGGTGTGAGGTCCGTTCGGCGGTGTGCCTCTTAAAGGCGCCGTCGTCTGTAAATAGATTTTTTACCTGCGTATTAAAAAAAAAAAAAAAAAAAAGGAGTTAACAAATCAAATTATATATAAAAGCAACTGTAAACAGACTCAAAAAGTGCTAAAATATATTTACTTATCCACCTGCATTCTAAGTTATTGAGTATGTATAACACAAACTCAGTGATTCTTACTTTAAAGCGTAAAGTTAAGTGTCTATGTAAGAGGCTGCTTCAATTACGTAAACGTTTATTCATGATGCAGACAACCAACCCAGCTACTTATTACAAATCGAAGCATAAAAAAGTCTCCATAAGCGGAAAGTATTCCGCGTTGTTACAGACCTATTCAGCAATTCAATGGCAGCTCGCATTATTATTTATGAATGTAAAATAAATTTCAGTGGGAGTGTATTAAGCAGTTGTCACAGGTGTTCGGGGGAAGCGGTAATAATTCGCACACAGCGCAGTCCGCGTAAATCAAGATATACTTGGTAGCTAAGCAATGTCTTTGATAAATTCTCTTTATTATTGTGTCGCTGACTGAGCTGAATAACGAATTAAGGCCGAACTGTTTATGCGGGTTAGGTGTAATATTAGTTGATATGTAGGTAGGCACCTGTAAACCTACATAGTGTATGGGTTTTTACCGAAACGGCTAGCTCATAAATCATTACTCGGGATAAACGTTATTTAACCAGGTGACTGGGGTTACTTGATATTTCACTAACGGAAAATTGTCTTCCCCGATAGACAGCGTTCTCCTACATCGATCAAATCATATCGTGAATACATTATAAAGAAAACACATTGTAAACAGGCTTGATAATATAAGAGTATAAAGTTCTGAAAGACATACTAAATATCATGAAAGGACAATGGGAAAAAAACACCCAACTTCGCCAAAAATGTATTTAATATAGATCGAAAGATCTATGAAAAAATCACCTTTTTATTATTACACCGTTAAAAAGAACTTGTATAATCTAAAGCTAGCTCCAGTAGCTCCTATTCAAAAGACAGGCGATTTCGACTCGACCAAAAGTCATGGTCGTTACTTGAAATTATTTTTTGCTGTCCTAGACGTTTGGCCCTACATAGAGGTCTCAGGTATGGCGGGAGAACTTCACAAGGTGCGAGTTTGCCCTCCATATGTTCCCCGATAGACAGCCGCGCCCGAGTAAACCTAAAAATCCCCGCTTATGCTCCCTACTATCATTAATAACATTTGTACAAGCCTAGTAAGTACCTTACATAATGTAAGTTACATTACAATCATTACACATACGAGTACATACTAAAGTTCTTTAAACTTCTCTTGTATAGGTACTTTCTTCATTATTTTGCGAGTGAGCTAATTTACCTAAGACAGTCGTTTAGTGCAATCATAATAAGGGTGCTTATTGAGCTAAAAGTCCCAATACAAATCTTGGTAATGGTAATACTTGTTAAGGAGTTTAAAATGTATGAAACAAGACCTGAAGCAACCGAAAAACTGAATCTCTAATTAAGTAGTTGGTGGTTCATGTCATGGTGGTCATATATATGGTTTTTAGGTCTGGCAAGACATGAAGAGAATATTGACAGACCGGCTCTTTTCTTAGACACTGTGATTGTGGACGAAGACCACAACTTCACGGAGCCTAACTCGAGCCCCCATAGAGTTACATAGGCATGCTTGGGCTCAATCCGAAAAAAAAGCCCCACAAAACTGCCCCGAGGAAAACAGCGAACGATACCTTATCACATAAAATTATTGTCCGTAAACCGACTTCAATGGCCAATATTTTTTTATCGAAGTATCTAAAATATTAACTAAAAATTCGATGAGCTTTGAATAATTCCATCAATCAATGTCGAAGATGTCATCATTACACATTTTATAACTGCGATCCCAGGTTTTTACTACCTTTTTTTCTGCACAACTACAGATAATATAATTTTAACAAAAAAAATGCCCATCGAAACCTCTTCTCAGTCCTTTTCATAATAAAAGAAAAAAACAAATAGCGTTAATGTCGTTTAGTGTCTTTTTTAATTAATTTCATTACAAAATATGTTTTATATGAAATAATACCGTCTGGAATTGAAAATTTCCTTTATACAGCCACTAGTGCTTATAGCTTCGATAAACGACGGACCATATGCGGCACGCAGTTGACAAATTATATCGGCCATTCACATTGGGGTCACGTCAAACGGCCAATAATGCAGACACCTAGTTCCGTCATTGCTATTCTAGGAGCGGTGCCAATATCTCCTCCGATATTGCGTGGCTGCGAAGTATACTGATATCCGACATCTCGATTGGAAACTTGTACTCCCGCGAACGATAAAACTAGCGAAACGGACTTATTTACAATGCGGACTTTGTTTGCTTCAGTTACAGTATATTCTTTATTACTAAACTTAGTTCAACTTTACAATACTGTTATTGAAACGATTTAACATTATTGTTGACTAACTTTGGATAAAATTATACTGTATTCCACTTCCACCAAAATTCCTAATTCAAACAGAGACTTACCGTCGCGTTTATAAACAAGCATAAGACGTTACTTTTAAGTAATGACTTCAGCAACATTTTTCATTTCATACTCAAGAAATTGATGAAGTAAGAACTGTAGAATATTATTATTCATGTAATTAGTATATTTTTGTGTAAATCCACCGTTACAAATT